TGAGAGATCCGACGACATACATAGATGCCCACAAATATGAGTGGAAGATTCAAATCTTTATTTATGACTTAACATCTATCTAGTACAGCGTACCAAAAATAACTGCCTACCTGTTCACTCTGCAAGAAATGCACTGCTAGTAGTAAGATATGATAAGAAGAAAGGAGGCCATATTTGCTATTCCGTATATCCAGAGCATCAAAAAGTGTTCGAAGATACAAAAATAGGAGAGATAATCTTCGATCACACTGGAAAGTATCGCATAAGAGAAAGAAACAATAAAGCTACAACACAAATTTCACCTGAACGTAGTGCCTTATCAAGTTTGTATTTCTAATAGCTTGAAACTGTTCATCTGGAAACTGTATATCCATACTTTGTCCGCTTTTCAAATGTACAATTAACAGCGGGACCTAAAACAAATGACAACAGATTTTACATAGTTTTATTTACCTACAACTTACCCGTAACTGATGAAGAACAACACAGCTCTCCACATTGCTACCAACATTCTCTATCTCTCGAGTGAGCAATTTTGACAAAGTATAAATGAATTGCCTAAAGTGTGAAAAAGAAAATACGTTTACACTGCATACAACTCACATTTTGAAATCTCCATTGCTATGGAAGTCTTTAAAGAATGTTTTCCTTCGATCAGGATTTGTGGGGAAGAACACCTTAGATCTCGAAGTTAGATAGACGAAAACCTGGCAATGATTTCAAAAGACTTACTAGATCAATGTCGGAGTTATCAGAATAAAGACCATTAACCGATGATCCAACTTGGACAAAGCGGCAATCACGAGAAAGAATTCGGCCGCTGATCTGGTCTAGAATGCTTTGCAGTACACCCTAAACAGATGTATGTAACTTTAAGTACCAAGGCACAAAACATGCAGAACATACGTTTGAGGTGTGATTTCTCGCCTTTTCAGCTTCTTCCAAGCTTTTCTCCAGCGCCTTGAGACGCTTACCATGCCGTTCTTTGACAAGATCAGCGAAAGTGCCACTGTTTCGTCCTAAAATTACCGAAGTTGTTTCGCACTGACAATTAGAAAAAAAATGGTATGAAACTTGTTGAGGAACTAATATAAATAAATGATAGATGCTGACTTCCATTGGTTGAGAGGGACGAGATTAGCGATTTAGAAGTTGCAGCCAGTCGATGCGCTATGGATCTACATACCATTCCGCAAATGAATCATTCGGTGCACAGTGGCGGTGAAATTCCGTCACTGATAATATCTACAAACGGTCGATCACTATGTTTAAGTTTTAATAAGAGAGAAAGGAACTATTGATGTATTCTAAGTAAAGTGTAGGTCTGAAATAACCATTCACAAATTATTCCACAACAGTCAAAGAGCGGTAAGATTTATTTGCAAAGTATCTTCCAAAATTGACAAGTGAAAAAAAAAGACACAAAGATTTTGAGGATAAAAAACCGCCACAGGGCATCCAGTATTATTTAGCTTTACATACATGTATAAAGCTAACCTTAGTATAAACTTCGAGAAATATTTTGAAATAGGTTTTGAGAAGTTACAAACTTACGAGAGGCAATCACGAGAGTTAGCGAAACTTAAGAAACTACTACCTGCAACACTACGTTCTACCCTGACCAACAATTTGCAGTTAAGGCCTACTCACACGATAGATCCTACGCAAATTTCCAACTTCTAGTTCAGATCTCAACGCTGTAAATGCTTGCTGCACTAAGGAGGGACCGTTTCGTACAGTGCACCGCGTACAATTTGGACCATCATTGGCGAAATATGGATCTATCAACTGGATGTAACTGTCTTCAGTCATTTCTGGCAATCTAGAAAAAAGTGGAACTTCAGGATTTAACATGAAATAAGTAAAGTAATACTCAAAAAATTTAGTTTAACCCAATGATTCCTATGATGCGCCAGTGTTAAGAAATTCACGATCTTACCGTTTGTAAACGTTTCCACTAACATCGATAGAGACGTTGTGCAAATCCATTTCGGTGAAGTAATCTATCATTTTTATGATAA